GTTACCTGTGCTACTCTGCCTGCCTGAACCAGCAAACCAGTGAGTTTCAGTTTGTTAATCTATCCCTGAGTTTAACCTGTACTCTGTCTCCCCTGCCTTCCAGGGTAGAACCCTGTGCTCATCCAAATAAACATTGGACTTTAATCCTGCCTCTGTGTCTGTGGAGTTCTGCATCCTTGGGCTAGCAAACCAACCACGTATCATGACATGTGTATCAATTTAGGGTTCTTCCTTATTATTATAAATGGGTGTTTAGCTAAAGGAAAACAATAAAGGAGACCTTTTTAGTAGAAAAGTCATACTGCTGAATCTTCTAGTATTGATGGCTGACTCTGGACATCTTACTTTTAATGATATAATAACTTAATAAAAGTATAATGTATGTTACATTTAAACATCTAAAATGCTGCTGGATAAAAAATAAAATAAAATCAGCGGGATTAAATGAACATTTAAATGTGTTAGCATTGTCAAAAAAGAGACATTGTTATGGCAACAAACATGAGTGAAAAATCATGATTTACAGTGGGAATGTTAGCTTTTTTTTCTTTTGTTTTGTCCCCCCCCAGCACCACTGTTAATAAAATGCAGTCAAAACTATCTCTCTAAGATGCAATTTGCACTCTCTGCCTAAAGGCCGGTGATTTCTGCCTGGACAGCATTTCCCTTGAGTCATGTCAAGCATCTTGCTAAGTAGCCAGTAAGAGGGGCTGACTCAGTCCTGATACCTGCCCAATGTTGGCTACTCTGATCAAAGTGACAATGCTGCAGACCCACAGAGATTACAGACAAGTCTACTGTCACCCACCTGTCCGACTGATGGCAACTTGGTCAGGGCAGCAAGAAAAGTAGAGTGACCAAAATTCCTGTCTGTGTGTCACTCACTTCTGTGTTGGATGACAGATCAGCCCATTAGGAAAGGAGCTGACTTCACACACCATTAGGGGAAGCAGCTCAAAGGACATTGAGTGATGCTACATATATTGGTGTTCAGATAAAAAAAAATTCCCTGGTTTTAAAAGATATTGTTCTATAGATTATCATAAATAAGGACATATATCTTAAAAAGGTAAAGCTGTGTCTTCTTGTTCTGCCCATCAAAATATTAGATGTTTTATTTCTATGTATATTCATATTTATCACAAAGCAAATATGCTATTACTTTACTTTAACTCATCTAAACCTGTTTACATAAAACTACTGAATAGCATAGGACTTATTTGTCATTCTTTGAGAAAACTGTTGTTTTTATTGATGAATGAACATTTTTTTAATCAAATGTTTTTTATGGTATGAGTACAAAATAAAAATGGTTCTTCAATGACTAAAACATGATAGGGTGCATACTGTATGTTTTTTGTTTGTTTTTTGTTTTAGAAAAAGAGTAGATAAAATAATGATAATGAGTGGTTCTTTGGACAGTCCAATATAAATGCATTTCTCCTTGTTATGCATATAAGCTGGTAATTGTTTCTGAATGTTAAAGAGTTGAGCTTGGTGGTCTGACATAATAAAGGTACATATGGGTATACTTTAATATGAGCCATCCAAAAAAAAAAAAAAAAAAATCAAATATAATGTAGAGAAACACTGCAGTTCATGTGGAAATAAAACATAACTGTTAAGAAGCACCTTGAGGGTCTCTTTACCGATATTTCTTCAAATGTAAGGTCCCACAAACTGGCTTCTAAAATTTTTTTGTTTGCTTTAACGTTAGCATACACAACACACAATTGTTTTGTTTCTTACTGTAGAAAATGCTGTGATTTGTGGCACAACAGTGAGTGCAATGTTCCGCACATTGTCCTTCAGCAGGTGGTTATTTGTAATCCTGCCAAACTACACAACTCTGTTAACGGATTAAACCATTTAACCAGTAGTATCCATCACTCAACAAAAATTTATTAGGTAAGCCTTGATTTCTACCAGATGTATACCCTACAATCAGGTTGCCATAGAAACTTCCAAAATGTTCCTGGATAACTGTGTGCACTGCATTTTTTATTGGTCTTTGTGGTCAAAATGACTATAAGTTGCAGGAATTCAAGTTTATAGAGTTATATATCAAGAGGTCACTTTGTCTTCATGGGAAGTTGCACGTTAAATACATAAATCCGATAAAGCAGGTTGTTAAACAAAAATAGCACAATTTAATATTATACTGGCTTTTTATAATTTTTGTGTGATGTGGCTATCATCCATGTCATAAAAATTTAAAGCCTTATTCTGGCTACCCTATCTTTGCCTGACATTGTTGTGTGGCTTGGGGTGGTGTCTTCTGTGTATGCCTTGGGAAAGCAGAGTCCTGGGCTCAGATGGAGATTTGTTTTCACAGTACTGGTGTTAGATGGAACAACCGAAGGGAAAGCCTAAAAGCTGCTGTAGTCTCTGGTGTTTCTTAAAATAAATCATTAACACGTTTTTTTTTAAATACACTGTATGTCCTTGCCTGCATGTGTGAGAAATCAGCTCTCAAACAGTGCCCCCTTTTATCCGAAAACTTTTCTTGTTTATATTATAATTATTTAAATACATGTTAAGATAAATTCATGCTAATTTTCTAAAGGCTTAATATCTGCTTGATACCTAAACATAGGTACTTCAGGCTTTGCTTTATATTCAGTGTAAAAATAAGTGGAAGGAAAGGTGTGAACATAACCCTAGGAGAACGATAGAAGTTATTAAACCAGACTAAACACAAAAACAAAAAGTTGGCAGAATCATCCCCATGCCACAAACCCACATCTGTTTGTTCAGATCTTTAGCTCTCTGTATGCCTGCTCCTGCCCTCCAGTCATCATTAAAGAGTAAGATGAGAGCCTCTGAGCTGAACAAAGGCATCAGCACGCATCACTTCTCTCCTGCTCTGAACGCTCAACTCTTAGCAATCCACCAGCCCCTGACGGACCCATTTACTGCACAAAATGGATTGTGTTTGGCTGTGAACTGTACTTCGAAATGTTCCTCTGATACTCTCATTCTTTCCTTACCTGTGCGTCTCACTCTGGTTCTCACCAGTTCTAAGGAAAAACACAACTATCTTATTAGTTTATTGCTGGAATAGCACTAGTAAATGGCTTAGAAAGTTCAGATGAAAATGGGACAGAACTCAAAGCTGACAGAACAGACATCAGTAGCAGAAGCACTCCAATTCAAAAACTCCCTTCTTAGATAGGAGGTTGTATATTTCAGTAGGAAAAAAAACACCTAGAAAGAGAAATTGTTCTTCAGCACCCCCCCAGGTCTGCAGGATAAAACCTGGATGAAAAAAAAAAAGGAAACAAACCAAAAATGCTTCCTTTGCACAATTTAAAACCAGGAAAAGACAAACTGAGAGAGATTTGTGAGCAATGGGAAAAGCCGGTGGCTAGATATTTCAGATAAAGAAAAATGGAAAGAGAAAGCAAGACATATCCCACTTGAATTATTTTGGGATAAATTGAAGAGAGTGCTAGAAGCTTTAAAAATACAGTTTATCAATGAGACAGACAAAGCTGCAATCCTCTGGTTGCAGAGTCTCAGGAATCCGGTCCATCTGCAAGTCAAGCCTTTGCACTATGTACAAAATAATCATTAATTCTAAAGATTTTCGTCACATGCATAAACTTGAACTCCAGCAGGCTGTTTTCAAAATACAGTTTTTTTTAAATTGTACTATTTTTCCAGAACATAAAACTGTTCTTAATCGTTGCAACATCTCTATGTCATTAATGTGTGATGTTTGCAGTTTAAAGTAAATAGAAACCCCTTTTTACTCTTGGGTTAATCGCTTAGCCAGTTCCGCTGTCTGCTGTGTGTCTGAAGGGAAAACATCTCAGGGTCAGTCAGGGCTTTTTAAATAGCTTAAGATACTGTGGCTCTAATTACATCAGGGGAGCACAACACAATCATCTTCAAGGATGTGGAGAACAAACTAGTTATGCTAATGCATTTCTGTGCTTTATCACCCTTCATTACACACGTCCCCAATCAGTGGTAGCTGTGAAGCGCCCTCAAGAAATCCCAGCTGCAAATTCTCAGCAAATCAGTGCCGCAGCCAATCAAAACTGTCACTTACACTGACGAGCATCTGAGGGAATGGTCCACGTGAATTTTCTGCCACATTGATGGGTGGGATCACCCAGTCTCTCTTCTGCCTTCGGAGACCCTTGGTGCTGTGGAAGTGGGACTCTGGGAACGTTATAACAGGATGTGGCGCCTGGAACGTATCCTTCTTCTTGTTTTTCTCACTGATGTCCCCTTCTTCCTCTGTGACCTTTAAGAGAGAACAATAAAAGACTTTCTTCATAAGCCCTTTTTGTGCTGATAATTATAACAGTAACTAATAAGATGCTTAAGTATTTTCAGTCCCTAGGCAGAAATTCAGATGACATAGAGAGTAATGTTTTTATAAAATTCTACTCATTAGAGCTACAGTGGGATCGCTTTTATTTGTACAGCAACACACACAAACACATATGCAGCTTGGAGCTAGAATCAACCAGGGGCTGTTTGTAGGCCATCAAACTGTTTTGACTGCCAAGGGTTAATATCTGCCACCAAAGATTTGCCCTAGATTTCACTAAAATGGTATCATGAAGGAGCAGAGCTCTTTTTCACACCAGTAACAACACAAAACAATCTTTGTTTCACACTTTATACATATTACTTATGTTTTCATGAATAATAAAACAAGGAGGAAAACAATTACAAAGCAAATTACTTTCTATATACAATCTGTTTTGAAATCACTCATCATACAGTGAATTAAAAACAAACTGACCAGAATAAATATTGGACAAAGTTAAAACAGTTACTGGACAAGAGGTAGGACAAAAATTTGACTATAGTAACAGTGTGAAGTAGTAGTAATGTTACACAGATAAAATAGAAATTAAAATCACAACAATAACATAGAATCTCTCAGTTAATCAGAAGCCTGAACTCCAAAAGGCATGGGTCAGTTATTGGGTGGCTGTGCTTGAACATTTTATGATGTCCAAAAGGAAAGATTACTGCTTTCCAGTTGCAAGAAGTCTTTGAAATGGAGACATGTAGAGTATATTTATTCTGTATAACCATAATTGTGAACTATTCAGTCAACAATAAAGCTTGCAAACCATGGTGTTGCATGGAAGTAAAGTTCGCAATGTCTAACAAACATACTATCAAAATTCTCAAAGGATAAAATAAACTCAATCTTTATGGAGTTTGCTTAATTTATACTGAGGTTTAGAAATAGAAATCACCACTTTCAAGTGAAGCCAGTGCTGTGACAGAAATCACCAGCTCAGAGGCATCAGACCCGAGCAGAGCAGAGCTACTATTACCTGTAATGTGGGTATAAAAGGGTGTGAAGACCATAAACATCCTACTTTGTCATTTATGTTCAATATAAAAGTCTATTAACAGAGACCATGTCTGATGTTAGATTTAAAGCATTTTTAGCTGATAGTGTCAGCTGAGTCACTAATATAATCTTCAATCATTCATTGTGCATTGTCCTAACAAATGTCCAGGTCCACCATAAAACTGTCATTTTGAAAGATTTTTAAATGAGGAAAGAAAAAAAAGAGCAGATTTTCAACCTCTTTATGAGCATTGACTCTCTATTGTGTCAGGCAATCTACATTAAAATACCTAGCAATAAAACCAATACCACCTAAACTTGATTTCATGTGAAAATACCTTAAAAACTGCAAGGAATTAGTGAAGATCGAATTAGACTTTCATAGTGTGATAAAAAAAAAAATCACTAGTAGACTAAGAGAGCCTTAGTTGTAAATTCCTTTGCTAGTTAAGGTATCAAATGTAAATAACATTAACAAGGTATGTTGCTCAATGTGTATATTACTCATGACTACATGCTCATGCTCAATGTCTTACTAAATATGTTTAATAGTGATCTAAAGGTCATATTAAACTCTCTGTTGAATTGTTCTACAATAAATCTACTAAAGTATCTCAGGGTTTGCAAGCCTGTAAAAGCATATAAGGAAATCAGCAATACAATCACTGCCAAAGGTTTGCATGTTTTACACTTTATTGTCATAACTCCACTGCCATGAGCTAACCTTTTATCTCATGTGTGGCATACCCCCTCTTTTCAGTGTTATTGTTTCTCATTGTCTCTCTCTTAAGTTAGGATGTTCGGACAGCTTTACTCTCACAAAGAATTGGACAATGTCAGACAACAGATGCTCCTATAAAAAAAAAATCTGAGTTGATGCATCTGCAATGTCTTTCTGGCAGTGTTTTGACTTTATTAAATGCATCCGCACTGGGTAGTCTAGAGCAGAGGTCTTCAACAGGGGGTCCGCGACCCCTAGGTGGTCCACGGAGGTACAGCATGGGGGTTGCGAAAGTTTTGCTTGATTAGACTTGTTTATATTTATATATATATATTCTTCCCTGCAATTTTTTCAACTAATTGAAATGTCTTTAAGTACGCATTAAATGAGTTCAACACACTGTAGTAAACAGATCAATGGAGGCAGAAGATGTCTTTCAGTCATCAATGCTCACATTCAGCGACACACAGGAGCTCTTTCAAGCTGGGCACCGTTTCATTCACAACACCTGTCCCATCAACCAGGAATCAGAATCAGAAAAACTTTAATAATCCCAGGGAGAAATTACTTTCGTTACATTACTCCATCTGTAATAGAGTGACTATAGGACCAGTTTGATATAACACAATTTCATACAATATATAAAATTAGGGGGTCCCCGCTCCATCTCCCCATCAGTTTGGGGCTCCTTGGCTTGGAAAACGTTAAAGACCCCTGGTCTAGAGTGTTTCTTTTTTTTGGCGAATCCCAGTCAGCATAACCAGGCAAACCATAAAATAAAAATTATATAATAAACTTTTACAAAAAAAACAATAAAGTTGTATCAAGTCATCCAAAAGATTGGGGAGAGACCATGCTACTCATGGTGAACACTTAAGCACCTCAAAGAGGGTTTAGAGCTTATCCAGTGTCCTGTGGCCAGGACTAAAACCAGACCGCTCCTTGTGATGCCGAGGTTCGACAATCAGCTGGATTTTCCATTCCAGCGCCCTCGTACAGTGTGATCCCCCTATAGAGGTACAATCTCCAGTCCCCCTTCTCACCGAGCAGAACCACCACTCCAGACAGATTGGGCTGTTAAATACTGACAAAGTCTTTGGAAAGGGGGATTTTAACATCCATTCCGACATCAAAGGTGATAAGTTAAATGTTGCATTTAATTTTGATGCAGCTCTATTTCTAGGAATCTGGCCAAATTTATTGGTCTTCCAAACTCTTGACAGGGTACAGACAAGGAAGTAGCCATAGTTTAGTTACTTTTACCCACCAATATGATCAAGACAGTATCTTGCCCACAGCCAAAAAAAAAAACAAATAGAAAAAAAAAACACTAAAGGAGTAAACCTTCGTAATCCAATTAAAACAAATATGACTAATTTCAAAACAGTTAAAAACAATTAAGTGGTTTATCGACCATAATATCTCTCTCATTAAATAGTTTGCTAATGATGTAATTCATGACAATAATAAATTGATATGATGAATAAAAAATTGATAAATTGATTTTTTTTTTTTTGTCTCACAGAAACCTGGCTGCAATAGGAGGATTGGGATAGCATAAATGAGGCATCTCTCTCAGCTATTTAATTTCTTTTAGACGCCCAGAAATTCTGGGCAAGGAGGAAGAGTTGCAACAATCTGAATTACTGATTAGTACAAAACTAGTTAATAGTTAAAACTCTTTTGAATATTTCACCATTAGTTTTTTTCCCCATCCAAACTGTACAGCTGGAAAACCACCTTTGTTTGTATCTTTGTATTATCCAATAGATCCTTACCCTCAAGTTCTATATCCCCTTAATAATAGATCATTTTTGTAACATTTTGTGAAAATTCAAGTGAAAGCCAACATGTTTATTAAGGTAAAAGCTGCTCAAACCTTTGGAAATAGGTGAGCGCATACTTAACCACTACTTTTTAAAATAACCTTTAAATTAAACTCTGGATCCAGACTTTTTTTTTTTTAGTAGGAGTCTATCAGTATGTCTCCACCTGGAATAAAATACAAATTAATTGTCAGTTTTCTTCCAAAATCTGAATGCTTATGTCAGAGCTGAACAGTGTTTGGAAATTTTTCTAAGATTTTAATCAGGTCTGAGGATTTTCTTCCTAAGAAAGGTTTCTGTCTTGTTACCCCATTCCTAACATAGATTTGTGGGGAAAATAGGAATTGTAGAACACAGAACGAGTCTTAAAGTCCTTTGTGTGTATATAACATATTGTCTTCTATAGGACAGTTATACTTTAAAAACAAAAAACACTTGTCACTATCGAGTGGGTCTATTTGTTTCAGAAAGGAAGTAAATGAAAATAGAAATATTTGGGATGATATATAATGAATCAATGCTAATTTTTCATAGTAGTATTTGAGACTATTGTCTATTCATCCAGTATAACTCCAAATGTTTACTAATATGGTTACACTTCAATTATCTAATATAGAATATTCATAATTTCTGTAATTCAAATATTCTAATGCCATGTTTTTATCTGATTACTTGTGAAAGGCAATCTGAGGTTTCTTATTCAAGCATTCTAACAAAACAAAGACATACATTTAAAATGTTTAAATATTGGTCACTTTAAATTAACAGGTTTTTATTAAAGGAACTAGATATTAATCAAAACAAGGTCCTCCTGATTTATCACAGAAAGTTATTTGGCCCATTCCTGCCAAACATTATTTTGCCACACTCTGTGGAATTTGATTAATAACTTTTTTTTTCATATGGTTTCTCTGCAACTCCTTTCTGTTTTGTCACTGTCTCAGAATTGCAGCTGAAAACATTACTTTCAATCTAAATTGTGCTGGTGTTACACTATACTTAGCACCCTAGGCTAAAAAGAAAATGTGATTTGTGATACTGTGTGATCCCACCAGCCCATTGTCAACAACAAAAACAAAATACAATTTGCTAAAATCTAACTTGTTTGAAATTTTAATTCTTAGGAAACAAAGTAATGCACTTTTTTGGCAAAAACATTCTATAGACAAGAGCAGAACCAAAGTGAAAGAGGTTGGTATTTAAAGAGGATTTTTGTGAATTAAAAAAGAAAAAAAGCAAATGCACAACCCTCTACCCGTTACTGAGTGGGAACGCCAATAAAATGCGTGCAAGAGCATGCATGAGCCCATTTCTCCTCGTGCACGCTCTGTTTAAAAGTTGCTGTTTGCATCCCTCATACAAGCTTACTTCCCAAAGTA